GTTTATAATGAATGGATTTTAAAAAAACATTATTCTGAATCTCTTCATCTTCAAAATGTCTTTCTTTATTCATATGGAACTATTCTTAATTTATTTCCAGCTATTTTTTCATCAATGATTAAATCTCAAACTCTTCATCTCTTTAATCTTTTTCATGGTTTTTCATTTTATACATGGTTAATTGTAATAACACAAGCATTAAATGGTTTATTTATGTCTGTTGTAATAAAACATTCATCAAATATTATTCGTTTATTTGTTATTTCATTTTCTTTAATTGTAACATCACTTCTTTCATTATTTATTTTTCATATTAGTTTTAATATTTATTTCTTTATTTCATTTATAACAATGACTTGTGCTCTTTCACTTTATTATTCAAATTAAATAATTCTTCTTATTAAAATACTTTTTTTTTTTCTTTGCAGAAATAACTCGAGGTAATTGATTTCTATCAAATATAATCTGAATATCTTCAAAATAATCTTGTTGTTGATTGAATAATTGTTTAATTTGATTAACATTAAATGGAGAACATTCAAAAACAAGATAACCTTCATCTTTCAGCCATCCTGTAATTGCACGATGAACTATTTGAGAATAGAATTTTAATGGTGAATCAACAAATAAAGCAATAGATGGTTCATAGAATATTCCTGGATCACAATAAGATATTTGTTCTTTAGAGATATAAGGAGGATTAGAAATAATCATATTATATGAAATATTTTGAAGAAATTCTGAGTTGAATAGATTTCCACGGTGGAATTGAATATTATAACAATGATGAAGATAAGCATTATTACGAGCAACTCGAAGTGCAGATGAACTAATATCACATGCATAAATTTGCCAATGAGGAAAAAGACGAGCGAGAGTTATCGATAAACATCCACTTCCAGTACCAATTTCAATAATTGATTGTCCTAAGAAAATTTTTTTAATTCTGTAATTCGAACATAGTTGCTCACTTACTGTTTGTATTATGTTCATAGAGTTGTTGTACATGATGAATGAGACATTCTGAATCTCGACGTGGTATGAGAACATGTCTATTCACAATAAATAATCGATTAAAAAACATCGCTGAACCACATAAATATTCAATTGGAACATGACGATGATATTGATTAATTAAAGAACGAAAAATTCCAAATAATGATTTAGATTTTGAGTATGATATATGAGATTGAGATAGACGCAATAAATGTTGAGCACGAGAAAATAGCCAACGATATGTATATGCTGTTGATGGATCGGTAATACTTCGATGCAGAAGATGTTTTAAAGAGCGCATTTTAAGAATAATAATTTCACTTTGTTTACTGGTTGATTAATAGATCCTATTAATATAGAAAAATCTAAGTCAAACGAAAGAGGTCGTTGTTCATCAAATGAAAATTTCACTTCTTTTTCATATATCCATTATATTTTTGTCAATACGATTCTATTAAGATAGAAGAAAGATGCTTGAATATTTTACGCAAGCGTCTGACTATCAGAGCTGAGCCTGAATCGTCAGTTATATAATAAGTAAGAATATCGAGTCAGTATTATTGACGTCGTATGGATAACTTGGTACGAGAAATACACTACTACGAATTACGCTTCTATGAGTCTAAAACGAGAACCCAAATCGAGTTAACTACTGTATGCATGCTGTTCGCCATTAATAACGATAATTATCGATGTTATTTCTGAAAAGAACAAATATAGAAGAAAATCTATCTTTGATATATGCTATGGATTTGTTCTAAAATTTTACATCGAATGAATAAACTGTTAGATTTTTCTTTCGTGTAGATTTTTCATACTATTCTATGTGATACAATCATATTTCTCGATTATGAAGAAATTTGAGATTATTCGAACTACTTTCCCTACATCTATAATTCATGAAAAATCTGAATTATCTTACATAATACTATGAACAATGAGAGTTGCGAAAAGTCAGAAAACAGATCATCGTATCATTGATAACGAACAATAGTGAATCGCATTTATCCTATAATACATGTTGTGATAGATTTAGCAGCAGTGCCAGGCTTTTTGGCCATGGAGGTCCATCTTCCTCTTCCAAAAAATGCAGCGGAAGTTTTTTCGTTTTATGTTTTTGACTTTTCAAAAGCGCTTGTTGTTTTATACTGAACAAAGCATTCTCACTCACGTGCAGAGTACTTTGTTACTTTTATGCAGAGAATCGAAAAAATACACTACAGAATATTCGGATCATGGTCTGTCTTTATACTAGCTCAACTGGAATCAATATTTTCGATCAAATATTGGATAAATTATCAATGTTGATTAAATAGCAGAATCTTAATACGATATAAACAATAAAATTGGGAACAAATTTTGTTTGAAAACTTTCATTTGAAGAAATCAAGTCTTTAAGAGACATCAATGATTTGACTAAAACCAGATCCGGTATAATTTGATCCAGAGATGATGGAGAAGACGAAGAAGGAGAGGGAAGCTATCGAAATTCAAAAGATGAGAATGAATTAGTAATGTTCGATTCTGTTTAATTTCTGTAGCTCAGGAAAGTGTGTACTGCAGTATCACTTATACGAGTGATCATGAGTTCTCTGTAACAAATTTGAAAAGATATCGGAGGAGAAGGTACTGAAACAGTTTTAGAGAAAATCAGCTTCTCTCCGCCACTCATTGACATCGCCACTAGATAAATCTTAAATTCATTTCATTGGTAAAAAGCCGTGATGTATATGTAAACAGCAATGCAACTGACCTATTTGTTATATTAAGAAATGATTATTGGAGCGTGCATGCATATAATTAAAAGGTTTTTTTGAAATATTTACGAGTCAAAACTGAATGAAACATCATCGAATTTGAACGGATGGATTATTAAATATTCTTCGTAAGTTTATTAGAGATGGGATCGATTCAATCAGATTCGAACTTTTTAAAAACTATGTTGATTCAGTTCAGGTCTGAAAAATCACGAACTGATTTCATCTCTGAAGTATATAAAATATAACGCATGAGTGAAACTTTGATTTTATTACAATCAACATCAAAGTTTTCGAAAAAAAAATCGATATTTTATGTTTATAAATTTTTATATCAACTGAAATACATATAGTTTTTCAATCCATTTCGCAGTTGATTTTATCTTTAAAATTAAATTTCATGTTTGCTCTGTGCTTTGTATTAGCCACTGCAGTAATACAACAAAGTTACGAGGCGTATGTTCATTATCACTTTCATCATCAGTATTAGATGAACATATTGATAATTCTTTTGTTACTTCTTCTTGTAGTCTTAAACGTAGCTTATTATAAGAATTCATAAAAATTTGATTCATACGATCAATCGAATATTGTTCGTATTTCGGATGTTCAGTCGAAATAAATTTGTTAAATGTTCGTCTATATAAATTAAGTGTAGCTTCAATTTCGACAGCTGATGGACGTCGTTTCGGTCTATCATTAATACAACGTACGATAAGATCATTAAACACTGGACTTTCTTGAGATAAAGAAATTTTTCTGAACAATAAATCGAACTGATGTCCAGTTTCAGTAAATATATAGTAGAGAGTAAGTCCAAAGGTATAAACATCAAGTGATTGATTATATATGCCTGTATAGAATTCAGGTGGCATATAAGGTTGACAACCGATCATTGTCAAATTTTCATCTCCAGTAGTTGTCATTGAACGAGCAATACCCATATCACCAATTTTAGCTGTATAAACATCATTGACAAGAATATTATCAGGTCGAATGTCACGATGAATCATATTACGAGCATGTAATTTTCTCATTCCATTAGCCACATGCCAAGCCATATCCAGTTTTTGATGTAAAGAAAGTTTCTTATTTTGAATAACATTTTTAAGACTACCTTGACCCATATATTCCATGATAAGTGCACATTTATGAACACCACCATTATACTTTGGTAGTTCATGAGCATAACCATATAATTTTAGAATATAAGCACCGGATAGTTCATTATATGCTCCTAATTCTCGTAGAAAACTTTCATATAAATCTAATCGATCAGGTGGTACATTAAGTATTTTGCAAGCAACTTGACGATTCTTTGACAACCAACGACTCTTATAAACAGTACCTAAAAACAAAAGTATCATCTTTAGTATATCAAATTAATTTGAAAATAAAACAAAAAAAAATGTCTTAAATAACAACAAATATGTATTTAACTTTATTAGTTTGTGTAAAAGTTAATCAATTTCATAAAATCTTACCAAATGCACCTTGACCAAGAACGTCATCGAGTTTTAAATCATTCATATCTATTTCTGGTAGACAATTTTGATCGACAACAATTAATGGATGAGTAGATTCATGTTGAAGTGTAATTATTTTTTCTTCTACACATTTCAAACATAAATCATAACAAGGACATGTATCACACTTAAAACGTATTCCAACAATTGGCTCCATTGAGCAACCATTGCAAAAAATATCAGTATGTTCAACAGAAGTAAAATATTTTTTTATCTTAGTTAAATTAACTTCATCATTTAAATTGGTAATCGATTTACCAAACAATTCTTTAGGTGTTTTAAGATGAACATACATATGACCACTACGATGTTCAGCATTCTCAGATCGTTTTTCAAAACATTCTCCACATAAATCGAAATCTAAGCATTGTAAACATCGATAACAATCATCTTGAATATAACGTGATTGACATCCATCACAGCGAACACGATGAATATTTTCATTTTGTTTGGTCTCTTGCTAAATAACATAACAAAAATAGAATTAGACAGTAGGTTCAAAAAAGTTCAATTATCAGATAAAAATTGTATAAACTTCAATCTTGTTTCCCCTGACATTTTGACTACAAATACAGCTCGGTAAATTCTAATTGCAAGTACTAATCTGAGATTATTTAGCTGTAATGTAATGGATTTAGCATGAAAACAGAGATTTTTTTCTGGTCCTATAAGTTTCTTAAACACTCTTCTAGGTTTTTTTTTCCTATTTTTATACGTTAATATTCAAATTTTTAATAAATAAAGCTTTACCTATTTATATTATGTCACTGATAGGATACATCATTTCGCTATAATTCTGAGTTGCAGAGTAAGCCTCCATTAATATTCTCTCCATCAATGGTCACTATCATGAAACTTCTAGAGGAAAAACTTGATTGGAGCAGAACACTCAACGAAGAAAATTTCGAAGCATTAAACTCGTTATAATCTATCAATTGATTTATAAAATCATTGAATGATATTGATACATGGATGAGTTTTTCGATAAAAACAACTGTTTCTATAAATACCTTATTTGACTTGATTTTACTAGTGGCATGCTGAGTTCGACGATTCGTATCTGATATTTTATTCGTATCATCTTCACGATTAGCTGCAATAGAAAGTATAGCAAAAAAAATAATATTAATTATTTTAAATAAATTTTACATGAAGTATTCGTATATCGTAAAATTTCACAATCACTTTTCGAACCTGAAAAACAAAAGAAAGAAACTATGATAATAGTAATCTATAAATAATTTATCAAAATATTGATTTTATTTATTCTCGAATGAATTTTCGAATAGCTTACCGATTAAAATAATTTGACCATTACGATAGTTAGTGCCTCGCTCAACCATTCGTTGTTCAAAAAGTCTAATACTATTGGGTGGTTTACGCACTGCAGATTGTTTTACAGTACTCACACCACTATCATCTTCCCATCGTACAGCACAATATTCATCACTTCGAATTTGTTCACTTCCAGCTAACGAAGCTACATACAAAAACAAAACAAAAAACAAAAATGGTTATTTAGGCTTTCATCTCATAAAACTTTACTTGTAAGTTTATCATTGACTGGTCTCATTACTTTTACAGTTTCAAGATTGCTATGAATGTGTTTATTTTTTGATTTATAATGAGCATATGTTGCTGGACTACAAACGAGTAATTGAATAGTTAAAACATTCGATTTATCTATTCTATTCAATAATTCATCTTCCGAATCGCCTTCAATGTTAACACCATTGAATTCAATAACTCGATCAAAACATTTAACACCAGCACAGAAAGCTAATTTAGAATTCGATTCATCCTTTAAAGATTCAATATAATAAAAATGTTCAAAATTATGAAATTGATAAGATAGACCAATTAGATGATCAAGATTAGAACGTTGCATAGTACATAGACGAATATCATCTTCAACATAGACAAGTGTAGTATATTTATCGATAGCAGCTGGACCTATAATTGCAATTAAAGATAATTCATTACTAAATATATATTTGTCAATTCTATATTATTTGAAAAAAAAAAAAAATATATATATATAACAAATTAAATTTGTTTTTCTTGAGTCAAAATAACCTACCATATTGTTTATTAATCCAATTGGATAACTTCTCTGATGGATTTTGTCCATAAGTCGATGCTCGACGTACTTTTCCTTTTTCATCTCGATATTCAATTATTCGATAGCAATTAGTAATACTAATTTTTTCACCTTTCTCATATCTTTTAATGATAGATATTTTATCATATGGTACTAAAATGTAATGACATACAGGTTGACCATTTTCTTGACTGCGAAGTAGACGAAGGTGTTCAGTACAAGTTTGCTCAGTTATTACTTGCATGAATGTTATCGACACTTTTTTTTTTTTTCTAGAAAAATCAATTTAACGAAATGAATAAATTCAAAACATAAGGTATTCTCTTTCCAACTTGATTTCAAGAACATCATAAAAAATACTTGTACTGACAATAAAAATCTTACGAGTATGTTTATGTCGAAGAAACTAAATATCAACAAAAGATAAAAAAACATTAATGTTGATTTAGCTACAGTCAATACAGATAAGATTTATTAGAGAAAGGACATGTTATAATGAAATGGTGACTTGTTTCAAGTTATTTATTTATTTTTGCAAGTTTTAGTCACCTAAAAGAATTTTTCTCATTTTGTGTTTTACATTATGCATAATAGTTATCAAAATTTGATGTACAAACTTTCAATTATATAAGAAAAAACGAAAATATCAAGACTTAGTGAATAAGATACTTCTGTTAGCTCTGTGAAAATAGATCATGAAGACGAAACTACGTAGAACTTGAAAAGTTATTGTTGTCTGTATGAATATAGATAAAAAGCTAAACAAGAGATATCAATATTTCGCCGAGTAAAATAAAATATTTTGGTACTTGTTTGATATATAAAATAACAAGGTTTTTTTTTGATTTCCACGTGTTTCTATATATTAGAGTTCTGTTTTCAAAGAACCCGAGTGAATATCCTAGAAAGCTCAGACTTTTCATTAAGAATGATTTCATCTGGTCGTTATATGCGAAATCGATCAAGAAAAATGAGTTTTAATTTGATAACGAGTATGGGCTGTGGAAGAGTGTGTGTGATTAGGGTTTTTCTTTTAACTCACACTTACTTGATTTACTCAACTTCAACCACACCCTAAAGGAACATACGATTCACATTGGATGTATGTCTAATTCATCACTCAACAAGTTATTTGTAGCTAAGTGAGATAACGTGAAATTCAACACATTTTCACCTATCCATATCCCATATAGAGCACAAAATTCAAGTAAAATTACCAACACAGGCATGAGTCTATGCAACGACTCATTACAAAAAGCTGTCTGTTCCTAAACTGCTGTAGATGTCGTAGTCGATTCCAAAACAGTTTTCGGAGTGTCTCGAAGTCAAAAAGCTTGACTCCACAGGCTTCCAGTCAGAAAATAAATATGATTTATGATAATGCAAGGAAAGACGTTATGTATTCAAAGTGTTTGAAATCCATATTTTTAACAGCAATATAAACAACATTCAAAGTAAGTTACTATTCAATTGTCAGAGTTTGAATTGATGGTTATTGATGCTGTTTGCATAATAACAATCTGAACAATTTCTTCTTCTTTTATGCAATAGTACAAATCAATGATCTTCGATGTCAAATGAGATAATAGCATAAATCAAATGTACTCCTTAGTTTCGATGATTTTCGAAAGTATTATAAACATCTCATATCGAACGTTCTAACACCTGTACTCAAGTTGTAGATGAAGTGTGATTAATTGATGATTTTTCTCTTCAATATTTTAGATTCAATCTGTATTGTAAGAGGTGTTCGTCTTCTATTATTTTCATTAAGCAACAAAATTTTGTGGAGCAAGCCAATTTTATTGACGAAATATGATTATTAACTGAATATATATGGATATAAGCATATGAATATAGAATTGAAAGTTAGAATAGAATAAATATTTAATCTCTATTTAATATTGTGTCTGTTCATTTAATTTAAAGTTCTTCAGCATCAAATTTAGCCAATGGAGCATCAGAATTATTAAGCATTGTTGTTATATTATTTTTCATTATCTCATCACCATCTTCAGTTGTTTTCTTATTATTAATACCTGCAACTTTTCGAAATGCAGACCACATAAATTCCATCATTTCATTTTTATGTTGTGAAGCAGCTAATTCTCGTTTAACATGTGCAAATGAATCATTCAAACTATAAAAAAAACAAAATTTTTTTATTAAGTTATTTCATTTATCAATCATACTTACATAGTTAAAAAGATACTCAGCAAAGCAACAAAGACAAGACTTATAAACGAAAGAAAATAAAATGTACCTACGAATAAGAAAGAACAAACGAATAAAATATTTTTAATATAATACTTTTTTGTTTCATAACTTACCATAGACTCGACTAACAGCAAGCATATCTGGAGCATTAATTTCACCCAAAAGCATTCGAAAACAAGTTGTTAATGCAGTAAAAAAGCTTTTATAAGATTGAAGTGAACGACCAAATATACCAAAACCCATATGTGCATATGCTATCATAAAAATAATAAAAACAACTCCAAATGAATTTAAATCTTGTCGAGCATAACGAAGTGATTGTGATAACATTCCAATACGTTTATTAAAACGAAGTAATTTTAAAAATTTAAGCATTGTAAAAAATGTTACTAATGCAACAATATATGAATAAACTTCATCAAAACTTCCAATTGCATTAAAATTAACAAATTCACCTAATAAAAAACAAAAAAAAAAAAAGAAATATTCGTTTGTCTTCTATGTATCTATTTACCCATTTCTGTTTTTCTTAATGATCGAATAGCTAATCGTGTTAATGTTTTTTTAGTTCCATACATAATTATTGCTGTTATACTAAATATTGCTGTTATAAATGAAATAATATTCCAAAATTTATTAAAATATTCTTTTCTTTGTTTAATTAATAATAATATTTCATGTATAAAAGAATAAATTGTAAAAATAACAAATAAAAGTTCAAATAAATAAACAAGAATACCATAACCACCAATATGATCATATAAACGAAAAATTTTTATTTGATAATCTTGTATAATTGAACCCATTGATGTCATTTCAAATGAAAGTGTAACAGAAATAAATAAATTAACATTTGCATTATAAAGTGAAAAATCCATAATAACTGCACGTGTTAATTGATCAAGCCAATTTTCTGAACGAAGTGTTTCAAGAAGTGATCGAGCTTTTTCATATGTTCGACCTAATGATACAACATAACCACCACCTTTATATGTTTTATAAAGTGCTTTTAGAGGACCACTTTTTGTACGAACACTACTCTAAAAAAACAACATAAAAAAAATAGATAATATTTAGACATCATGTTAAAATTCATTAAAGCAAATAGTCAGTAAGTACAATACTTCTATTCGTTACTCGTTCATATTTCTTTTTCATTAGGAAGAGACTCTTTGTGTTTCGAAAAGTTATTCTAATAAAACTTATTTTTATAAGTTTGAATTTTCAAAAACATAAATTCGTATCAAACACTTTATATTAACACTAAAGAATTATGAATATTCAAAGAAGAGTTCATTTCTTCAGCTGACATCTTATGTGATATCGAACTTTTACGACATAATTGTAGTTTGTTTTTAAATATTCTATATACAGACAATATCATTATACTTATATCTTAAGATAGAAAAATTCTAAACTTTTGACATGCTTACAATGACCTATCTCATTCTAGTCTTTTTTTTGTATAAAAAACAAAAAACAAAATGAATATAAAACTAACTTGATAACACCATGGAGTTTTACATCGTTTTGTTTCATTATTTGATTCATCAATTATTTTTATTGCAGTTTTATTTAAAACTTTTTCCCATCTTGGTGTATAATCTTTTGTATCATCATCAAACCAATTATAATCATCTCGACAATGTTTTATAATATGTTTAACACGTCGATGAACTCGACAACTATTTTCTTTAACACGTAATTGTCGAATTCTTGGTGCACCAACACGCATTGAAACTCGACTTCCAGTTGTTAATTTTTCTCTCCATGTTAAATTTTTATTATTATACCATGTTTGAGCATAAAGACCTTTTAATAAAACACCATCACAATAATTCCACCATGTATTTAATGAATTAATACCATGAAAATCATCTGTTATAAATAAATTTTTTGTATCACGATATAAACCATAAGAATTTGTATCTCGTGCTTGATATGAAAGAAATAATAAAATAACTGTAAAAAATACATAAACAACTATTTCACGTATAATTTCTCCCATTTTTATTTCACGTAAACGTTGTTCTCGTGCACGAGACATTTCATTTGAATCAATAGGACGTAAATCAAATAATCGAACACGACGTTGACGAGCCACTTCTAATATAAGATATGAAGAAATATATTTTCCTTTTTTAAAATGTATCATATCCTATCCATAGATAAATCCGATGGGTTAAACAAAAATCCCACACAAAAAAAAAATCTAAGTAGCCTCTTCTTTTATGCTCCTTCCCTGTCAGACACCTGTTTTTGCCTAATATTGAGTTGTTCAAAAGTTATTTTAATATTAAGCGTCAAAACGTAGCTCTCTGTGTGTTCCAGATGCCTCTTTTAAATCTAATGATACCGACGTTAGTTTAGCCTTAATATGTAGTCAACACTGATCGCCTACGATTTACCAGAGGTCGATTTTTAAATAATTTCTTTTTTTGTTGCTTTTGATATTAGTTTTTCTAAAAAAAATTCTACAAAATTAAAGGTGCTCCTATATAGAAACAAGAGATTCATTTTTCTCAAAAACTCGAACTCTTTTAAATTGTAGAGCTCAATTTTCTATTCAATGCAAAATGGCTGAGAAATAATTTTTGCCGTCGAAAATGAAGCTCTTGTTCCTTGGAAAGTTATACAAAAAGATCTATATGCAGAGAATCTCGGTAAGTGTCTGACACACATTTGCTGGTACTTGTTAGTTATATCCTCCGTGTTGCAGACCTAAAAAGGGGTTTAAAAGGCTTTAATGATTAAGGTTCGAAGATTCCATTGTAAAATCAGTGAAGGATAGTATATTCTAAAGTAGAAAACTTAGACTATTCAAGTATGTATGAATCTCAAAAACCATCAGCCTGGACAAAAAACAAAAATTGGAATTTCTGATAGAACAAAGTTTAAATAAAATAAATCAAAATTTACCTTTAATTTGAGAATCATTATAAATATCTTGACCATCATTTTCAGCAATATTATTATTTGATACTAATGCTCCTGTAAAAGGATCATTAAAATCAAGTGTTTCATCAT